AGCAGTAAGGTGTTCCCCTTGGATAACCAGCATCTGCAGCGATGCTGCCTTCTCACAAGGAAGGAAGGGTTAGAAAAGATTGACCCTAATATGTCACACCACGGATTTCTGTCTTCAGCAGTAAGGGGTGCCCAATAAGGGCCTTTAAGAGCGGAGCTAATACTCAAAAAACCTTTCACAAAAAGGCCGTGCGTGACCGGCCTCAAGCAGTTGTCCCTTGGGCTCTGAGGTCACGCACCCAGATCTCCAAGACCAACACTAATCTATTTTCCTTTTCAGGTTCCTGAAAAAACACTTTTCTACGGTTTGGGCAGCCGGGAAGTGACAACCGCCCTCATACCCGTACCAGAACACGAGACCGAATTGGTCAAAATAAAATCCTTCCTACAACCCCTAGTACCACTCTTATCTCCACGACTAACTCTTCTCACATTCCTTTATCACACTGCACAGCTAATGCAAACGATGCGGGTTCACGGAACTTCATTTCTGGTCTCCTGAAACCCCACTCTAGACTACATGTTGGAGCTTTTAATGTACGGACATAATGTCAAATAGGGCAACAGGCTTCCTTAACTAGGACATTAGAATCTCGTGTCAGAAAACTTTCGGACCTCCTAAAAAAGTTACGCACTCTGATGTAGTAATAATAGCTGGTGACTTTAATGCTCAAGTAGGTAGACTAAGTGAGCAGGAGAGACACCTAGGTGGATGTTATGGTGTCGCGGCTCAGAGAACAGACAGTGGCGACCGTCTGTTGCAGTTGTGCTCAGATAACCGCCTATTTCTAGCAAACACTAATTTTAAGCTAAAGGAAAAGCATCTTTTGACCTGGCGACCTCCTAAAGTCGTCTCAACGTTGGACCCAACTAGATCACATCACCATCAGCCACCGATGGAAGAGGTTCGATAGAGGACTGTCGCTCGTTCTGGGGCACATGTGTGGATTCAGATCATGCCCTAGTGCGAGCGCGTATTTGTTTGAAGCTTACTGGGCGTAGGAAAGACAACGTAAGAAAGCCTCTTAGGGTTTTACTTAATGATAATAAGGCGAAAAATATATTTCATGGTTAACTAGAAAAATTTAGGCAACCATGTAAGTGATTCCCATCCGGAGACAGGTTGGAATGATATCAAGAAGGCTGTGGAAACAGTAGTGATATCTGCCAGTATGGTAAACCATAGGTCTAGGAGGGAGCTGTGAATCTCGGTAGCATCTACCGAACTGATGGATGCTCGAAAACTCATCCCACCTGGCTCTGAACATGATGAAGAACGAAGTCAACTTAGGCGCAGACTTATAAAAAGCCTACGTAACGACCGTGAACAGTGGTGGGTGGCGAAAGCAAAAGCGATTGAATAGGCAGCGGCGATAGGCAACACTAGACAACTTTTCCGCCTTATCAAGAAAACTGGTATTAGGAACCCAAATGTGAGTGAGACTATTTCGGAAAAGGATGGTCTCATTATCCATTCTCAATCCAGGAGACTGGATCGATGGGCAGAACACTTTAGAGATCAGTTCAACTGGCCTCGAGCCACTCTTCGGTTACCCACGACCTCCAGTCATTCTGAATGGCAAGTCGACGTCAGCCCTCCGAACCGTTATGAAGTTGTAAAGGCTATAGGAAATCTAAAGCGAGGGCGAGCTGCAGGTCCTGATAGGCTTACCCCTGAGATGTTTAAGGATGGTGGTCCAGCTTTAGCAGAAATCCATGAAGTCACACACAAGTGAACTGAGTCATGTTGGTAGATGTAGGCTACCTGGTTGGGGTCCGCGAGACGAAAGTCACCAATGGTTAGAGACCTTGAATGACATGGCTCAGAATCGTTTGCAATGGCGCAGGTGCATCCACTCTTTGTGTTCTATGAAATTCTAAGCTTCTGCATTCCTCATAATCTCTACCTTTCTCCTTCTAAATTTATCTTACTGAATTATACTTCTCGAATCATATCTTCGAACCCTAATCTTTGGATTTGAACTGACAGTTGCGTCTCTGTGCTGATTGGGCATGGCAACTTGAACTGATGTACTTACGTACGAAGTTCTGCGTTGTATCTGTCTCTCCTTCTGAGCTTGCTTACATGGTTGACTAACTATCTTCCAAGTTGTTCATTAAGTGTAGTCTAAACATTTTGATCAAGTTGAACCGTAAAGTGTTTTCTCACTCTGACGTTTTACGTTCAGTAAGCCGCAGACAAATACGTGCTTGTGCTAGAGCATGATCTGATTCTAAACAAGTGCTACAGAATGTATGTTAGTCTTCTATCGAGTCTCGTAGACGATGGCTGATAAGAAAGTGATAGATTTGAGTCAAGCGTCTAGCCGATTGTGTTGGTCGCCATGTCAAAAGATGTTTTTTCTTGTGCTTGCTAGAAGTAGACGGTTATCTGAGCACAGTTGCAACAGATGGTCGCTACTATGTTTGCTGAGCGGCGACGCCGTAATACCTACCAGCATTCTTCACCTAATCTACCTGCTTGGCAGGTGCTCGTGAGCACGAATACAGATGCACGGAACATCTGAATAAGGAAGTTTTAATTGTGAGAAAAAGTCTGTAAATGAACCAGGAATCTAGAGGTGATCGACTCAGCGAAATGCTGATGCTAAAGTTGCACAGAGTAAATAAAATCTCATGCAGGTAAATTACTATTCATGTCACTTTAAGATCGGAAGATAAATTCCTTGGACTAGCCACCTCTTATCTTATATATCTGTGTAACTGTTCCTCCGGAGCAAGTTACATTGTCAGATGTTTCGTGAATTTTTATTTTGCTACTCACAAGTGCCTTCCAATGTGTTCAATAAAAGGTTAATTTAAAAATGTTAACGGGTTGATTCTAGCTCATTTAATGCCAACTGAACACGGAGAAATCATTTAGGATAATGTATCGCATTAACAACCACCTACCTAAATACGCCACGCTATGAATCATTATGACAGCTGAAGCAATTGCAATTCGGATCAAAAAGCTGATCCAAAACGATTGTGTCTAACTGCTCATTTAAACTTGACCTAATTAGCTTACTATCATTCTGATTATGTAGTGACATTATTCGATTTGTATTCACGCAATCTTCTTTTTTGTATTATTACAGCCTAACATCTTATTGTGATTAATAATGTAACGTTTGCGCATGTAGTGAGATGCTTATTCAAGTTCATACTTGTTTAATAATCCATAGTGTTCTACGTAACGTTTGATTCCTGATTTGTAATTGTATTATGACCTATCTCACCCATTTCACTAGATTCTACTTCTCGAATAACATCTTCGAACCCTAATCTCTCCGGTTACTTCTAATACTATGAGATTTAAATTGAAAATTATATCTCTGTGCCAATGTGGTATGGCAACTTGAATTGATGTACTTATGTACGAAGATCTATGTTGTAAGTTACTGGCTGACTATCTCACCTCATGTTGGTTCCGACCAATATTCTCACAATTTTGTTTAACGTACAATCTTATTCATATTAACACCTCATTATAGTTATTTCAACACTAATTTTATTTTTTTTCAAAGAATGCCAAATTCACAACATTTAATTTTAAGCAACGCACACTGCTCTGGACCTGGCCAATTTCATTCCCACGGTTTTGGATGAATAATTGATGGAAAGAATATTTTCCGTCCACGCATCTGCGTCTTAATATGATTAAAACTTTTTGGGGATTAAAACTCTATGTCTGGAGAGCTATATACTGATTTGTTGTCGAATTACTGCACGTCAGACTATTACGTTGCCTGACTGAACTAAACATTGATTTTGAGTAGATTTCCATAGCTATCTACATATAGGACAAAACCAACATGAATAGTAGATATACTTACAACCGAGGACTTTAACCAAACCTGAGCATTTGATTTGTAAAGTAGGGGAAAGTAATTTGCACGAGAAAAAGCAGCACGAAGGAACCAGAGTCAGTAAACTTTGAATAGAACAAGTAGGTGAATATAAGCCGGGGATAACGGTTTTAGACTCATGCTGGAATTTATCTCTTCACTTTAAGGTTCATACATGCTTTTATTCAATATATGCAGCATGCATACATGTATGAGCAACATAATAATGTTTACAAACACCGACTTCTGCAGAAACAGTCAACAAAGATGCTATTAAGAGGAAAGAAGTTATTTACTGAATGAAAAGAATGGGTAATCCAGGATTTCATGAACATACTACTCAAAACTAAACAAACTAATCGCCTTCCCTAAGTAAATATTACATTACCGTTGAAACACCGCTTGTCCGATATCCAATATCCTTTTCATGAGCTAGTGTGTTAGATTCCTAATCTTCCGGTATGGTTCCAGATATTTTGTAATGTTCAATGGATGGTAGTCTAGCCACTCAACTGAACTAAATCTACACGGTAAGCAGTTGGTTGTGAATTTGTTCGTCCAGCGATTTTAATTAATGCGTTTTTTTTCTGAGGGAAGTAGGGTTTCTGAGGAGAAGCAGGCATTACGTTACCAGGCTGGAGAATAATTGCGTGAAAATTCTAGTCCTAATGAGAAGATGAAAGTTTTAGAACTATTTAATTGATGAAATAAGTTATTTATCCGGTAGTAGAGATTGTATTACCTGACAGAGGTGTAAGTAAAGAATAGGAAACAAAGGTCAGAAGCTAAACAGAACAGCTAGTAATCTAAGGAAACGACAGTGATAAAAACTTACGACGTTCGAGACGTTTTTCAGGCACAACTGGTCCATGTAGGGATTATAGTAATGAGGGAGTACTTGTTTATTAAGTCTCCTCTTGAAGTTATCCACTGAGGGGGCTGCAGTCAATTCGACTAGGAGAATATTACAAGTTTTGACGACTCTTATTGAGAAAAAGTTAAGTCGTGCCTAGGTGTTCTCAATTTAATGTGCAATTGTTCAAGGGTTACCATGAGAGGCGCGGTTGTGATGCTTTGGCAAGATACTTGAGTTGGGATGATGTGGAGTACATAATATGTTATATACCACTAATAGATCACCTTTGATCCTCCTATAACTCAGCGGGAATGATCTCACGAATGGGAATCTGTCTTCGTAAGGTTTATTCTTCAACCATGATACCGATTTGGATGCTCTTTTTTTCAATCGATCCAGGAGATCTATGTCAGCATGAAAATGAATGAGTACAAAAGCATTGGCTTAATGAATTTTGGGAAGTCTTCTATTTTCTTTCCTGAACGTCGATCAATCTTCTCCCTGATCTCACTAAATTTGCAGGCAATGTGGGCAGTGTGGCAATCAAGAACTGGAGCGTAGCCATTTTTGATCTCCCCTGGGTGATTCATAACAATGACTTGAGCAGTAAAGGTTGCGGCTTCCTTCGGGGGATCGTTCTTGGAATCGCCTGCAACATTACCACGATGGATATCTTTGACGGAAACATTCTTCACATTAAAACCAACATTGTCACCGGGCAAGGCCTCTGCAAGGGCTTCGTGATGCATTTCGACGGACTTGACTTCTGTTGTTAATCCTTGAGGAGCAAATGTCACGACCATACCAGGCTTGATGATACCAGTCTCGACGCGACCAGCAGGACCAGTACCAATACCACCTATCTTTTAGACATCTTGCAACGGAATTCGGAGAGGATTTTTTGTTGGTCTAGATGGAGGTTCCATTTTATCTATTGCATCTATAAGTGTATGACCTGAGTCATTTAGGCTTTTCCCCTCCTTCGTTTTTGCAATGTCCCAACCTTTAAACCATGGCATGTTGAGACTCTTTTCTATCATATTATCACCGTGCCACCCAGAGATAGGTACGAACGGGACCACAGCAGGGTTAAACCCGACTTTCTTGATGTATCCAGATACTTCTTTGATAATTTCCTTGTATCGATTCTCAGAGAAGGCAGGTTCAGTGGAGTCCATCTTATTGATTGCGACAATTAACTGTTTGACACCCAGCGTGTATGCCAACAGAGAGTGTTCTCTAGTTTGGCCATTCTGAGAAATACCGGCCTCAAACTCACCAGCAGCAACAATCAGTATAGCAAAATCAGTTTGACTTGTTCCTGTGATCATATTCTTGATGGAATCCCGATTACCAGGTGCATCAACAACTGTGACATTGTACTTTTTGGTTTCAAACCTCCACAAGGCAATATCGCTAGTGATACCACGCTCACGTTCAGCTTTCAGTTTATCCAACACCCAAGAATATTTAAAAGAACCCTTAACCATCTCAGCAGCCTCTTTCTCCAATTTATCAATAATACGTTTGTCAATGCCAAGCTGTGGTTGTGTGTATGTTTTAAAGAGAGTTAAAAATAATTCTAAGGGGACTACAAGTTGTATTCGCACACAGCGAAGATTTGCATTATCATTGACTACATCTGCAGTGTGGTTTGAACTGATGTTCAAACCCCCTATGGTGATTAGACAGAGATCGCTTCCTGACGACACATTTATGAGCGGACTTCCACATAGGACATAAGTTTTTTAGGTCGCATGGAGCAGAAGATTCATGACATGACATATCCACTAGCTAAATTCGGCACGTCGTCCAGTGCCCATTCCTCTATTGTTGTTAGATCCTTTTGAAGAGCAAGTGAATCGTTATCGCTTCTTTTGGACCTCCGTATCTCAGCCATCTCCAGGTGGGTAATGTCTTTGCCATTTGGAATGATGAAAGCATATGCACCTTGGTTCGTAGGTTTCCTTTTAGCTTAGAGAGAAATTTTGGGTATGCTATTATTTCGGCTGCTAGCTTAGTCAGTAAGTGTCTCCTAACGCCTCGAACCTTAGAATTGCATCTTTTTCTCGATGCGAGCGTTCAAGGCTATGCTTAACACATATTATTCCTTCCAGTTGTGTGATTTGCCTCAGGTATATTGTGTAAGACAGCATTCTGAATTGTCTTTCAATGTTTGCCAGTGGTCATCTAGTGTTAGCTTCCATCATTCCCGTGTGCCTAGAAAGTGCAGAAGATGCTCTCTCATGGTCGTGTAGTTTGTCATAATGTAGCACATATGGGAAACATTTTCTTGCACCACGAATATTTCGTCAGTGACCATGTTAAACATGAGTGCTGAATGGTCACTGACTCCGAATGGTGAGTGGACATGGACATCATCGACCAGGAGCTGATCACTTGTGACAAATTATTCAAAGTTTTTTGGCGAATCGATTAATATACTATTCCGCGGGATAACAAATGTTAATCCCGTAACTGTATGATAATAATAATTTATTCTCAAATAACGAACATGTTACAAGAGGCATGCCAATATACAGGTAAGATCAAAATGTTAATATCGGGAACATATTTCTTTTAAAACGGTATACAGTCACTGAAATATTTCATAAGATACATTGGCTCCATTTAAATGGTCTAAAGTGTACAACGCGAATAATTGGCGTGATTTTCGGTGGTCGCGGTACAAAGAGCTTGTTAATGACCGTGAAACAATGCAAGGTAGAGCCAGGTCTGCATATAACAAGAGTTGATGAGGTAAATGTGCAAAGAACTGGTTGATAAATTTACAGGCCTTTGGGTAAAGTAACCAAGTCTTCGGCAAATATCCAGACTAAGACATAAGAATCGGAATAAGGTGCTGAAAAAAGAGAAATAAAGAGAAAGGGACGACTAGCAAAACAGAAAATATTCTTGTTTAAAGACGAACAATGACTCAACACATACGTTTCTGGATAAAAGAAGGTATGTTTACTAAGACTTTTTTCATTACAAAACTAACTGTACACCTGCATTTGTGTAGGTCAATGAAGACAGTTCAGTAGTAATAAAACGAACCGGACATTTAGCTTGTGAATAAAGGAAATTCAGTATAATCAAATCGTTTAGCAACAATTTACAGAATATAATAATGAGACTCAGTGGATCTTATGTTTTTATCTTATTTTATTTGTTCTTTTTGTAGAATCCTTTTTTGAATGTTTGTTTTTTGGAAAATCCCTCCATGTTATATATTTTTGTTATGACATGAAGGATTTTTTCTGTTGACAT